ATTTATTCAGGAATGAAGATAAATTAAAAGATAGAAACATGACAAGATTGACCTATTGTAAAAAATGGAAACTAGGAAACCACACACCTCATGTGCACTCATCTGGAAAGCCCATTTTGTTTGTGAGGAAGGGGCAACAGATGAAACTGGCAGACCAGAACTGGATGCGGCAACCTTGGTAGGCACTGAAGAAACCATACCATCACTTGTAGCAATAGATTTATCTTTAGGTGCTTTAAATTTTAACGAACTACTTTCCTCAACCTTGTCATTTCTTTGAGAAGTAAGATCCTGGGCATCATTAGACGGAATGCCTTTAACATTTTCCAAATACTTCGATGAATCTACATCTTCCAGGCTTCTAAGAGCTGGCCCATGCAACATTGATGGTGACAACTTCATGGGTGAGTTATTCCTCACAAACAGCTTTGCTTCAGAAGATTTTTCCTTTGGAGGGGTTAATTTATCAAGCTGCTCCAATATTTTTGAGGCCATCTCACTTGACCTGAGGGGAATTCGAGGAAAACTTGAACTAGGAGACATATCATTTTCAAACTCTGCAGACATTTTGGACAAATTACACTTGGTTTCATTCGAATAAAGTGCCTTCCCAGCAGAAGATGGCAACTGATGAACCTTTGTAGACTGAAAACGTTGAGCAGTCTCAGAACCAATTCCGCTTACGGAAATAGATGTGGAACTGCCTGAAATTGGTAAACTCAAACCTTTTGAGAAAACAAGATTGGATTTCTGGCGAATTCTGCGAATAGGACCAACAGATCCCATTTCATTATCTAACACTGAACTCCTGCGTTTTAAAGCCTACAGAAAAAAAATAAATAACATAATCTAAGAGACTTACTGAATAAACAATTTATAGTAAAAGAGCATTTTAAAAAATAATACCCCTTGATTAGACCCCACAAGTCTCCCTTGCTCCCATGCTGATTGAGATGATGATGATGATGGCGCTGCCCTGTAAGCATCTGTAGTGGCTACAGTATTCTGAAGAACGAGCCAGAGAGGAAAAAATTAATACAAAAAATATGCTACCACACAATTGATCAATGAAGCAGATGCATCTCATTAGAGAATAGACCTTTATGCTAGAGGTTGCACGAACTCTAGAATATGGCAATCGAGCCATACTATAAAGAGCAGATCTGCCTCGAGGTCTTGGAGTGACAAAACCATTATCAATAACGTCAACATTGCCAGAGGGCCTTGGCACAAGAGATAAAGTAGAGGAGTTCGAAAGATCGCCAGAAGCGAAACTATCCACAAGTTTTTGACTTGCCGCCATATTCAATGGAGTTGCTTTTGGAGGCCTGCTGCCCATGTATGCTTTTGCAATCTCTGCAGGTGAAGCGACATCTTCATCAAGGACCTGAAATGATTGTACAAACAACAATAAGGCCAAAAGTGTGCAAAGTTCAGTTGTCAGATTTAGCAACCTATGGAAAACAAACATGAAGGATTAAACAATGCAGGCGCCAAACCACAACAAAAATCTATACATAAGATTCCTACATTTGCACTCATAACACGAGTTGAAACCATGTGAGTGCTAACTCCATCTTGAGCTGGACTTTTTTGAGATTCTTCATGTCTCCCATAACTGATAATGGGCGTTGAAGGGACCAGTTCAAATTTCCTCTCTTCAACCCCACTTGGAACATCGACAATTCTTGAATTCAGAAGTTCAGTCAAGCGATCAATCTCGGATCTGTAAAATGGTTAGCGCATGATATGTTAAATATAAAATCCATATCTTGCAAAAATGGATATCTCAATGAAGATAAAATGACCTAGTATTATATAGCGATATTGTGATTTATACATTTCATTCAAGAGCATATAATACTATTTTATACCTTCTTACCATGTTATTAATTGTAATATATGCGTATTCAAATTCATATAATTCCCTCAATTAAAATTTAATAGGAAAACTAACAGCAACCAAAATCAAAAAAATCTTCTAAAAGAATTGAGATAGGTGACTAAAAATAACTTGACCAACAAACACTCAAAATCTTACCTTGTAAAGGTCTTCTCCTTCAAAATTTGCTCAAGGTCAGTCACCCGGTGTGTGTTATTAGAACTGATGCTTGGAACAAAACCAGGATTAGTGCCTTCTTGAGTGCCAGGAGGATCCTAAAGAATTGTTACAAATTCACAAATTGTAAGACATAGGAATTCAGACTAAAGCTCAAGAAAAATATCAGATTTTTGCAAGAAGTTTCGCTTCAATGTGAAATAAAATAATGGATTCATGAAAATAAAATAGCTCTCTTGGTGCTACTAATGTTATCCTTTTTATTTTATTTTTCAAAGAACGGTGGAAAATAACTTTTTTAGGACAAATCTGAAAGAAAAATAAAAGATTAGCCAAATAAATAGGAAAAAGAATAACCAAAAAAATCAGTTCGTCTTATTAAATCTGCAACAGGAAAATGCTGAAGCCAAACAAGTACACGGAGAGGCAAAAACACAGTCGTAATCTGTCATGATTCAGTCAATAGCAGAATTGGATAACAAAAACAAAGATATACCACATGCACAGGTTATTGAAAAATCTTACTAAACCTAACTCTTGATAAACAAAACCAATAAGATATAAAACTTACAGCTGCAACTTCTTCCTGATTCTTATTTTCCGTCTCATCATTGCCCTCTGGAAGCATCAATTGCATGTACAAACAAGTTAATGATTGAGCAAAAATCTAAAAATTATGGAACACAAAACATCTGGTAAGCTCTACTACAACTGTTAATTACGTATCAACAAAATTCAGTGCAAGCACAATAGTATAGTTAATGAGGAAAGTTAACTTATAAAACCGAGTTATTTGAAACCATTCACTGGGTGAAAACTGTTAATGTTATGAGAAGATAAGGGGATGCTGAGGTAGAAAATAGAAGACTATAACTGATTAGAATCAACTCACTCTTAAGCACCTTCCACTTTTTCCTGAGAACGAATACTGTAGTATAACTAAGAAACATCATTAAATACCCCTAAATAAATGATCAAATAATGGCACCATGCTTCCTGAGTGGGTATAAAAATCAGTACCGTTCCCAATCATACATGTTACTCTCATGAGGGAAAAGAAAGTTGCATGAGAGATCAAGATGTTTGAGAGCTATATTTAAAAAATATTTCAGGTTTAAATATTAAAAATGATTTAACAGCATCTTTATTCAGGGAGATAATTTTTAATGACAAATTCACCGAACAACCAACATAAGAAAAAATATATTATTCTTCCATTTGCGTGTGTTTTGTAAGCTGTCTTCAAAACAACTGTTGATACATGCCTATTTGCTATTATTAAGTTTAACTTACTTTAAATATATTCAACTGTCAAATTAGCATTTTTATGGGAAAGAAAACTATTCCGTTCATCGATTAAAACATAAATAGGAGAGCCTAAGCCAAAGGGTAACAGTAGAAAGGAGTTCTAACCGGCTATGATGAGGAAATACTGTAAATACAAATATATATACATATACATTGAGAGTCAGGGGACCAAGCGGCTATAAAGAATTTGCTTTCCAAGAATTCTTCTGGAGCTATAGAAACATTCTTCTGTTTCGCAGATGGTCCGAAGGGTGGCAAAAATAGCATTGCAACATAGGGCCTTAGCCTTGGCTTTGAGCTTAAATACACGTATACAAGAACAAATGATATCTTTTCAAAACTTGTTATAAAATAAAAATAAAACTAATTCGTAAAATTTATATGCGATATCAATTTAGAAAAATTTGTAGAAATGACACTCGGACAACCCCCTAATGTTTCTAGGATATTTGTAATGTATGTATATGACATCCAAGCAACGACAACAAAACAATATTGCAAGCTGACTCGCTATTTTTCGATTAGCAAGCCTTGAAACTTGCAATTTGATATATTTGAACTTTGAAGTAAATGCGGCAGAGAAGCACGCCAACCAATGACATTAAAAAAATTGGAAGTCTTTACTCAGATAGATGAGCTTCAACAAGCGAAAGTAACAAATAGAGTCATACAAATGATAAATCCGGGTTCCACTGAGACGAAAAGAAAAAGAAACCCCCGACTCGCTCGGAAAAGGCAAAATTAAAAATCTCTCTTTTTAATGTCGTCTTACAGCCAACACCTCCAAAATTAAAATTGTTCCAAACGAACAAGCATCAAAATGCGCAAAATGAAAACCCAGAACAAATTAAACAACCGCTTAGACAGCCTTCCAATTGAAACCCAAATGGTACGAAACATGTAAGAAATCAAAAAAATAATTTAAAAAAAAAAATCAAAACCTCGCGAAAGTGGCAATGACGGCGGCGGTGGAGGAAGGCGTTTACGAAACACAGTAGAAAACAGCCTGTGGGCACTGGAGGTGATGAACTTCTGCGCCGGATCGACGAGCGTGGAGACCCATCCTTTCCGAGCAGAGTTCCTCAGAGCAGTCGGCGGCCGATCATACGGCGTCGTATGCGACCTCCTGACAGGCCTCTTCTGAAACTTCCCACCTCTTCCTCCTTCGTAGCGAATCTCCTCCCGCTCTGTTGCCATAAACGCAAGCAACGCAGAGTTAAGGTCTTCTCTTCAATGGCGGAAAACAGAGAGAGGGAGAGAAAGAAAGAAAGTAAGGTATTGAGCAAATTAGGGTTTTTATCAGCCACGCGCAGAAAGAAGAGAGAGAAAGAAAGATATGCAGAGGATGAGTGAGAAATTTGAAAATCGAGTTTGTTTCTAGAGAGAGAAAATTTTTACCCCTATTTTTTGTGAAAACGGGATAATTATACCATTTTATACCTCTTTAGGCAGTCGGTACCCGGTTGATGCTAAAATGACAGCCCTTGTCTTTCCGTTAATGTGACGGGCAAAGCGTGGCCGTTCACTCGTGTGTACTGTGATATTTACGATTAACGTGCCCAAGTATTGGACTGTGATGCTCGACATTGGCATGACAGAAAAAGTAGTTGTGTTTGTGTGTGATTGTTCAGTTTTCACATTTAGTAAATAAAACGTAAAGTTAAATTAATATTTTATTTTATTGTGATTTCTGACTTACTTTTAAATTTTTAATTATTTTATTTCGATTTAATTATTTAAAATATTGTTAACATTTTATTTGGCTAAATATGTCATTCTAGAAAGAGCAGCGTCTAGTTTTAACATTACATTACATAATACAATGTTTATTACGCTACATTTATCACTATATTGTTTTATTTTATACAACTTAATTTACTGAGTTAAAAATATATGTATAGTCTCTATACTATAAATACTATATTTAATAAGCTCCACCCCACATGTTGTATAGAAAAAATATATATATATATACTATATCTAATAAGCCTATACATACAACATACTATTAAATTACCACTTCTCTTTATAACATGTCCTCAATTTAAAAATTGTTAATTATAAACTTTTAATTTCGTATCTAATACTTCGATAAAAGAAACAAAAAAAAGTCGTACGTAATAGATATTTGACTCATTTATCTATTGGACACAAAATTTAAAGGTGTTGTATCTAAATTTGAATTTTGTATCTAATAGTCATGTTGATTTGAAAAAATGATGAATGGGTTTATAATTTGTAGATATAAATTTGAAAGTTTTGAAATCTATAGAGATATTAAATTTTTTTTTTTGTATGTAAATACTTGTTAGGTGTAAGAAAATTGGGTGGAGAATTGACGGGTGCTAGTTAACAAAGCTCATGTTGCCACATTGGATTAGGCTTGTAAATTATAAAATAATAGTAATGATAAAACCTATGGGAGTGGGCCTCCGTGGTTTATGGAAGGCCAGTCTTTCATTGTTCCCTATGTTGGGCTTGGGTTAGGGAGAATAGATGGGCTGGGCCGAGTCCATTTTGATTTTAAAATCAAGTGAGCCATGAGATAATATTTTGGGGGGAATATTTTGAAATCTTAATTGCATAAATGTATTTAGTTTTTAAAATTTACACTTTTAGATATTTGAGTTAGGATTTTATTTTAATACCGTTTCTATCCTTATTTATTGCTTTTTATTTTATTATAATTTTTAAATTTTAAAGATTTGAATCCTTAATTTGTAATTATATTCATTTAATTCTTGTTGGCCCCGTTCAAAATTTCAACCTTAATTCCTCAAATCTAAAGAGATTTTTTTCTCTCACCAATTAACCACCGTTTTTTGTTCACCATTGTCTTCGTTTCCAACGTGCAAAGATGTCGACGGTCAGACCTTCATTTTCCATCTTCAAAGCTTTTATGAACAAGGTATTTATTTCTTTTGCACGTTTCCAACGCCGTTCATTTCCGTTGCTGAATAAAGTTTCCGTAGACAACGCGTTTTTCGTCTCCTGTCCCCTGTTTTTACCATTGATACTTATTAGTCTTCTGTTAAGATTGATATATATGAGAATATATTTTATGTATGTGTACAGAAAATAGAAGTTCAAAACGTCTCACAGTCTTAGTATTCCTGATTATATTCGTATATATGGGTATATATTGTATATGTGAATATATCTTATATGTGTATACATATATCTTATAGTTCCGTAGAAATGGTCCTCCATACCATTTGTAATTATTAGTCTTCCGTTAAGATTGATATATATGAGGATATATTTTGTTTATGTGTATAGAAAATTGAAGTTCTAAATGTCTCATATTCTTAGTATTCCTGATTATATTCGTATATATAGGTATATATTGTATATGTGTATATATCTTATAGTTGTATATAAGAAGATATAAACGCATATATCTTATAGTAATGTAGAAAGGATCCTCCAAAATTAAAGTTTTAAACTTCTCATGGATGAAGCGAAAAAAGTTATTGATTTCGAATTTGAGAGATTTTTGGACGGGATTTAGAGATATTTTGGGAGGTTATGATTTCAATTTTGGAAATTTAGGGTTTTGTTTTTTATGTTTTGGTGTTTTAATTTGTTTTGGAAAGTATCATTAACCTCATGGGATCTAAATTATAACCTTCCAACTAATCAATTTTGCATATTAAAATGAATTTAAAATTAATTTGTAAATACAATAGGCTATTTAAGTAATTTATATGATGGTACCCTAGGTTGATATATCACAAATGTGTATAACATTACATTTATGTAATTAGGATCTTTAAATAGCTCATTAATGTACTAATCTCAACTTAAACGCGATGGAACTTGAAGTGACCATTTTAATCTACGAGTTAAACCAAAGAAATAAAAAAAATAACCAATATTGCTGAAGTGACCATTTTTTATTGCCGTGGTAAATTCTTATATTATTATCTAAGAAAAAAGAAAGTCTTACCAATTTTATACCAAATCAATAAAGAACATTGAAATGTTGAAGAGAATATTGGATACCACTTGCTTGTCACCGGCCATATACCTCTCTCTAATCCATCGTCGCTCACTTGCTCAATCAAAGAACAAACGTCATATCGTATATAATCACACATAAATGGATTAGATATAATTGGGAGGTCGGGACGCCAACTATCAAGGGTTGAACTGTCTCACCAAGAGAAGGCACACCTCAAGCTAATAGGTCGGGATGAAACCCTCGGGCAACAAGGGTGAGCAACGACGTTGTTTATGCAAGAGTTTGCACAACGGTTCTTCACGAATCGAGCTCGAACCCGGTATCCGGTTCTGACCTGAACACTAGGGTGGACCTGCACAAGAGGGTAAGCACTCCGACGCTCAAGTCAGTATAGATCGGATTCTGTATTTAGTTCGATGTGAGATTCGATACCTGAGCGTGAAATGAAGCCCTCTATTTATAGGCGATGGATCCGACAGTACACACGACCAGCGGTTATATGTGTTTTCTCATGTCGGACCTGTCGGGTTCCGAGCAGGTCGGACCCCAGCCAGGTCGAACCTTGACACCCATACTTAGTCTTTCATAATGGGCGAACCCGGTCTCCTCGACTGGGCCGAGGTGGATCTTGGCAATCCCACTTATTCAGTTTCTTCAAACACTAATAAGAGTTCTCCACGTGTCCTGGGTATGTTTTACCCCCAAACAGACGTCGATCTCTTTAAGGTAATAATGAGTCCAGTCATCAGTACGACCCACAATGTCTGGGATATCATCTAATATTGTAATAGTGAACTATTATTAGTAAGACAATAATTTGCTCATTTGCCCCAATATAAATACACCTCATTTCACCCAATCAAATAGAGAATTTGTCTGAAACTGATCTATCCAACTCATATTATAAACTAATTCGAGTGTTGTAGTGTTCTACCTGCTTTTTGCAGGTATTCTCTCGTAGCTCGCTATGACCCAACATAAGCTGCTCCACGACACTTTGGCATATCTTTGCATCAATAGATATGATTAGAGTGGACTACCTAGTTCATCGACTCCATATATATTCATAATATAATACAAGTTTATCATTGATGTTAAAATATGCTGCAAAATATATATGACAACAAAAACACTTAGTTTATTGAACCCACTAGGGAATGCTTATGTGCAAGGCATGTAAATGGTTCATGTTTTTTAAAATATAAAACATAAAATGGTTAAATCAAAATCCAACGACAACAAAAATCTGAAAACATAATATTTTAGTGAAAATTAGAGTTGTATTATTCGTTTTCAATATTCTTAAACATGTATTGGCGTCTTTCAAATTTGTAAACTAGAGGTAGTCGCTACTAACTAAATATTTATTTCAATTTAAAATTATATTAATTAAAATTTTTATTATAAATTTTGTATAATTATTATTTTATAATATATTATATATATTTGACAGGTTTTAATTTTAACAAAAAAAAAAAAAGAAAAGGAATGAGTTATATTTATTAAAATTCAAGCAGGATTTCACAATTTGTTTTCAGAATCTCACAAATCACAGAATTCGGATTACCTAAAAATGGTGTAATTTTGCGGAAAGATACGTTACCATACATACACACACACATATATATATTTTATAAATTTGGTCCCATAGCCGTTTGGATGGAGCGGGCCGTTGACCAAGTCAACCTTTGGATGGACGCGGATTGGACACGGTTAAAGTTACACTATAAAACATACGTCGAAGAAGAGAAGAGAGAAGAGACATTTCGATCACTTCTTCCAGTTCCCGCCATTCAACCTACTCCGCTCGTTTTCTTTCTACGCATTTCGATCGTGAAACCCTAGATCAGGGTTCGCTCTCCTTCAAAATCTTTCTTCAGAAAGTGTTCGTCGTCGCTGCGTATTCGTTGACGGCCATCTCTCATGGTTTCGATCCGGTTTCCTCAGCACGGTATCTCGCATAAGATTCGATGTACCTTCAAGCATGGGTTTGTGTGAAAGTACATTGAAGTTATTTTGCATTTTCACTTTGTTTTGCATTTTCTTTTCGCCATCATGTTCATATTTACTTATCTACGAATGGAGACGTTTGTTGAATACTGTTTTTTCAAATTCTCATTTTAATATGTTGTTCTAAAAATTTTAGTCTCTGGTGGGATGGGAATAGCTGAAAACTTAATGTCTAGGTGTGGAATTTATAATCTGATTGAAGTTACACATGATAGCCATTTCTTTGGAGCTTATCATTTGAGTCTGCACCATTTCTTATCCTTCATTGTGCATTTATAGGTTTTGTTCCTTTACTTGCTGTCAGCTATTTTATTTGATTTAATTTCATCACTTCAGGTTTAATAAATATCTATATGAGAAGATACAAGATGTGTGCTTCGCATTTGAATTATTATATAAACCAGTCAAGGGTAAATGAGTCTCTTTCTTCCATTTATTGAAGCATGACTTTTATTATGTCGAAGAATATTAAAATCTTTTGCGGTTGTTCAATGATCAAAAGAATGCCATTTTCTAAGTCTGTGATACTTATTTTTCCCCTTTTTAAGCTATGACTTTTGTTTTCGACATGTGATTGATATTGAGTTCAAGTTTCATTTTTGTGGGTTTTGATTTGAGCAATTCTTTTGTTTTATGGAAGCCCACTTGGGGGATATATGCTTCTACAAGGTGTAGAACTTTTGAGGTTTTAGTGTGTTAGTGTTGGTTTAATTTGGTGGTTAACAAGTTTTTGCTTTCATGTGTAAGAATGGACATATACTGTACACTCTTGTTTTCTTGCTTTATGTGCTGAATTCTGTACGTTCTTCATTTGTCTCATTTTAGTAAATTCTGTGGAAACTTTTAGTCTGGAGGTGGTTGAATTTTTACATTTTTAGCCACTTATTTGTAGAGATGATCAATAATGATTTGCACTCGCTAGGAAATTCAAAATGTTAGTCAATAATGATTCATTTGATAAGTTTTCCTCTACTTTTCTTCTCATCTTTTGAAAAAAGAGAAAAAGCCATCGTTTATTTCCTTGCTTCTGGACGAAATTGATGAATCTTGATATTAAAACATTCCATCTCACATAATTTCTAATTATTTAACTAAATGATGATTAAAATTAGTAGCTTGTTTCTTCTTGGGTTTTTTTAGTTGGTGGTGGGAATTTGAATATCTATTGTCTAATTTAAAAAAAAAAAATGATCATTTTGGGACTATAAAATTGATTTATATGATCCAGGTTGGTTTTCTATTAGTTCCACATTTTTTCTTTGATAGAAATTAGTTCTACATTTAATATTAGAATTTAAATTAGCATAATTATGAGATTGTAACTAAAATTAAAATTAGTGACAAAAATGTTAATACAACAATCGGTATAGGGTATAGGTGAAGATTTGAACTTATAAAAAGTGGAAGCATGCCTTAAAAGATGATGTAATTAACGTGAAAAAAAAATACTGTTCTATTATACAATTTTTTATTTAGCCTTTTTTTAATATTTGTAAAATCTTTTAATTCTAAAAACGGAATATTCTTTTCGAGGAAAGAAAATCCAAAATATCAGTAATATGTGCTTATTTTCCAATAGCCGGTCTAAGGAGAGGACCCATTGACAAAGTATCCCGTTCAAGAACCTCTCAAACCGTGGCCGCGTGGACCGCAAAATTCAGCTTTAAAACTACGGCGAAGAGAAGAGACGATTTACATCGAGAAAAAAAAAAATGATGAAGAAACTAATCGCCGTCGCTGCGGAGGCGCTGCAAAGTCGCCGCCGGCCGTCTCTCATGACCACTTGCCGCCGCCATTCAACCTCTGTTTCCTCCGCCGTCAACTCCTTACTGCTCCGCTCCCTCAAAGAACACTATCTCGAGATCTCCAGAATGACGCCTCCTCCGGTATGGTTTCTCCTGCCCTCTGACTTCGATCACCAAACCCTAGAGTTAGGGTTTAGTGCAGACAACGATTGCTTGTTTTGTCACTCGGCAAATTGTTTTTACTTTACCTTTTTGTTTCCGGTGTTTGCAGAAGGTGAGCCCTCCTTCACCGTTTTCGATCATTAAAGGCGCACTAGATAGCAATGGTCCAGTGCTTACGAGGAACTTCGGTGAAGAAGAGGTTAACATTTCAGTTATGCGATTGGCCAATATCGTCCCTGGAGGCGGCGGAGACGACGACGGAGATGAGGAAATAAACCAGTTGTTTCTTCACGTGACTGTGTCGAAGCCAGAGCAGAGGGATAATTTACATTTCCTTTGTGGGCTGTATCCTGACGCGTTAGGTATTCATTCCGTCTCCATGAGACCCAGAGCCGAATCCTCGGGATTCCTTGTTGTTCCATCGGGCTATAATGGTCCAGTGTTCGAGTAAGTTCTAATTCTTTTATCCGCAGAGAATGAAACCAATTTTATTTTGAAGGATTTTAGGGCAAGGAAGTATAATTTAGATTCTGTGTCTAAATTTTTAGTGTTATCAACTAACAGTATCGTAACCAGTTTATCAAAGAAGTATAAGATCTCTGTAGGCTAGGGCTGATAAGAAAGAACCTCATGCTTTGTTCGTTTACAGCTGACGAACATATTGTTTCTGTATCTTCTCTGTTTACCTTTTTTCAAGTATTCATTGTTGATTAAAGTATGAGTTTGCAGTTGCTGTATTTGAATTCTTCATTTGTAGCTATTACTTTTGTTCATTCACTTGCTGCCATTGATTTCTTTTCTTTGCTCGCATACTCAGACTTTGTGTTTGCTGATTATAATGTCTTAACTTGCTGTTGATTGAAACCCTCATATCATCATGTTATTTCCTCACTTTAGATACTTACAGGCGGCACCTAGCATCATAAGATTTGGAATAATTTGTACCCTTTCTTGTAATTCTTTTTGTGGCTCTGTTGGTTGCTTACCAATTCATCCTTTTATTTCATTTTGTGAGTGCTATCTCTTATTAAAGAATTGTGTTTGGCCTGGATTTTATGCAATATGTTGGTGTCTAATGGTCATGATGTTAGTTTTTCTTTTCATAGCCTTTAATGTATGCCAATTTATATCTGTAAGTTTTATTTGCTTGTGGGTTTGTGATGTTTTCTGCCTTTATCATTTCCATATATTGACAAACTTTACCAATTTACTGTTGATGTCAAAATATGTCATAAGAAACTTACATTTCTTTGTCTCTAAACAACAGAGATCTAGATGAAAAGATGCGAGATGTGCTTCACAATTATATAGATGAGCGAGGTGTAAATGAGTCTCTCTTTCCATTTCTTCAAGCATGGCTTTATGTTAAAGAACATCGAAATCTCATGCGGTGGTTCAGATCAGCTGGTTCATTCATCAATGAACGCAAGGGTGCTAAAGAGAATTGATACAAGAGTTAGTCCAAATGCTAGATTTCGTGGATTCATGGTTCCATCTCCATAATTGGTTAGGTGTATTAGGTAAATGGTCCTAGTTCATTTTAATTATACAATTTTGTAAGCCCCTAGCTGATGATTTTTTTTCTTGCAAAAGTGATTAACATTGAATTCACAAATCAATTACTATATATTGTAGTTTGATTTCTGTGGGCTCTGTTGCTAACTTCTTGTCTATAAAACTCTTCTTTATTCAGAATCATGTCTATGTTTATTGATTCCATGATCCATCCCACTGGGAGGGAATGCTTCTGCAAGGTGTACTCTAATTTGGGGACTATTTGGGTTTTACAGAAGAAAGTTTCAGATTTAGAGAAATTAGAACCTCCCCACCTCTTATAATTCCTTATATCTCTCTTTACATTTGTAACATCCAGTGATATCTTCAAATTGTGAACACTTTCACAGTCTGAGGATTCAGGTTCTTGAATGAATACATTTTTATCAAATGGAAGCAGTGAGGCTGGAGGAGGTGAAGATGGAAGCAGTGGGGGTGGGGGTGGAGGAGATTCATCTCCTGCAGCAGCTGCTTGTTAAATGGTAACTAACACCATTACTGCTGCCACCGGAATCCTCCTCTTCATATCATCCTACTAATTTTGCTTCTAAAAATGATGGGTTTGAACGTTTCGTTTTGAGATGGGGAATTGTTCAGATCTAGTATGGCTTAACACGACGGTAAATGTACACATAATTTAACCTTTTTAAGAAGCGATTTTCGATATGTTAAAAGATGTCAAAAGAGGATATTTGAGAAAGTTTTCATTTAATACTGTTTTAAACAAATGAGTATGCAATATGTTATGCACATTAACAGAAATTTGTATGACCCAGAATATACTTATAAATGAAGGGATACAGATCTGAAAAAGTATTGCATTAATTACATATGTTGCAAAATGAACGTGGGAAACTCCTCAAAATCTTGTTGAACTTCTGTATGAATGAATCTTACATAATTGAATATGGGACAGAATCAAAACCCAATTTACAAAATCAAAGAATCAACAATAAATCCATAATTTTAGCAGCAATAGGGACACAGAATGAGTCCATTCTCATTACATTCTGGACATATCCTCTGTTCATCATCCTCACCAACAATTTTATGGCTCCCATTGCAGTTGAAACAGAGCACAAATCGGATTCCGCCACACCCATCGCACGGGTTCCCGGCGAGATGGTCGATTGGAACCCCATCGAAGAGCACCCGGAGCCTCCCCTGCTCGTGCAGCCCCAACACCTCCTCTGCTCCGCCAATGTACCTTCCTCTGATGAAGAGCTTTGGAGGTAATGCCTTTGAATCCAAAACTCTCCATAGCTCTTCCTTGAACTCCTTATGCATTGAAATGTCCCGCTCGTAGAATTTCACTCTGAAAGTTTCTAATAGAAATCTTATGCTGTTGCAATTCTCAAAAGTTTTCCTGATTCCTCTAAGAGTTGTTGTGTAGAGAATCACTGAATCTGATCCCTCTGGTGGGCAATTTTCTTGGAAGCCAAACAGAGGATTCTCTTCTTCTTCCTCCTCCTCTTTCTCTTGAATTTTGGTTCTGCTTTTGATCTCAGCCTCTCTTAATTTCATATGTTCCACTACTACTTGGTGGAAAACCGCCAGTAAATTGGGGTCGAAGAGGCTGCCGGAGTTCATGTCCGGCGGCCTGAAAGACGAGATGTCAATTTCCAACAATGGTGTACAATTTTCCTGCCCAGAATCCGACGAGCAATTTCGAGTTCTTAAACACTTGGAATTCCCATACACATTACCTTTTCTGAGCGGTTCGATGTTCTCTTTATCTTCAATCTCGAAATGGATCTCTGTGTCTGTTTCTGTTTCTTCATCTCCAACGCCAACTGGGTTTTTCTTTCTCTTCGGCGAATCGATCTTCTCGTTCGTGTTCTTGAGATTGGCTTTGAGATTTTCGTTCCTGGAGAAGAAATCTGAGTACCCATCTGGAGAAAAGGCCTGGAGAATCCGATCGTGTTTGATGGATTTGAGCTTCTTCAGGAATTTTCCTTTGACCCCATTCATTTTTTTTCCCTTTCTTCTCTGATGTGGCCGAGGAGGGGATATTCAAAGCTCAAGGGTTTAGATTTCTGAGAAGAAAATGAAAATAAAAAAAAACTGTTCAGAATTTCCCAGTGGAGAAAGAGAGAGAGAGTGAAAAAGGCTCTAACAATGGAATTCAAACGGCTAGAAAGTTCTTTTTAGAAAAATTTGAAGAACGTTGAGAGGGAAGTGTAATCCTGTGTTGCCGTACCATGATAAGCTCGTGGTGTCACGTGTCTTTGGAAATCTGAGAGCACCACGTGGATAAATGTTCGGTTCTTTTTTGCCGCCTTCATTGCTCTAGGGTTTCTGTTTTCTTGGTTAAAACCGACTCGACCCGAACCGAACCGGATGGGATTGTTTTTAATTATCACTCTTTATAACAGTTTATATATATATATTATATAACATTGAGTAAATATTTTATTTGTTGGGCCATCCACATTAATTAGGCTCGGCCCATTTGTTTTTTACTTTATTTTATAGATATTTTAATTTAGTTGCCTAATCTCCACGCTGCTTCGTTTTACCGTTGCCCAAGATTGCGTTTCTCTTCTTCGTCCTTTCTTCCGCGGCCATGGATTGCTCTTCAATGACGCCGATCCCTCTGTCGAATTCAACCTTCCCGGCGGTGTCTTCGAAGGCCGATTCATTCCGGCGGGGAAGACCATCTCCGACAACGCGCGTGCTGTCATCGACGATCCTCAGAATCTCTACTTTGCCCTCGTCTCTCAACGCTGTATCCCTGTCCAATCCTTCGATTTCATCTACAATTTCTTGTTTAGAAACTCTATTACTTCGCTCCGGTATGCTTTCTCCCTCTCCCTCCGCTCTACTATCCTCTAATTTTAAAGACGTGCATCGAAAAATCCAGGCTGTAAATGTCAGACAGAGAAGATTTTTCACTGACTTTGAGAATACTCTAACCCACGAGATCGTACGGTCGAATGTCAGCAGATATCCTACAAGGAGAACTCTATAAAAAGAAAAAGAAAAAAAAGTGGACGGGCTGGACATATGGGTTCTCCCTCCTCGGCCCGTTGAGTTCAAATTGGGCCTTGAACAACAATAATTAGCAATTACACAATTAACATTTCTGACCATGGATGTATTTTTCTGGATGCACTAAATTTGCCAAGTGCGTCGATATATTTGCTATTTCCTATTGTGCCGTCAATTTTTTTGTATTCTATATAAACTTGTATTTCTATATATAAAATTCATACATTATTAAATTTAATTTTAAAATTAAAATTACATCAATTGTGAATTTTTTTTTTGGTAGTACCACAAGTTGGAGGATTCAGAACTCTTTGTAAAATACAGATGCCAATTAACTCAACAAAATGATAAAATTTCCAAAAATTATGTTCAATTAGTATACAAAATTGATGGGTGACTTATAAATTTCTAATAAAATCAAAATTTAATGAAGAATATAGTAATAAAAACCAAATTGTTGTACACTTGTTTTAAATGAAGGTTTGTTAATAGAACTGAAAAAATCCCGGAAATTGCGGAAGAAATAAAGCGATTTAATTAATTAGCTGTAAATTAGTTGTCCCTCCAACGGTAACTTGCTCCGTCACTATGAAATTGTCCTTTTTCTTTTTAATGTTTTTTTGAAAAATTTAATCGTATAATCGGTCGGCTTGGGCTCATTTTTTCAGCAAAATGGGCCACGGCCCTTTGCAAAATAAAGAAATGGGCCACTTCAAGCCTTTACACTTATTTTATCAATATCATTATTATTAATAATATTACATATGAAGAATCGGAGATATCGTTTTGAGTACGCAACTTCTTTTTCCCGCGTCCGCTATTTTGTTACTGTTACACTTATTTTATTATTATATTAATAAAGATAGATATCGTTTTGAGCACGCAACTTCTCATTTGAACTTTCCCGCTATTTTGTTTCCGTTGCTCCTTCGGAACTTTTCTCCGATGATAAACAAAATTTCCTCTTCGATTTTTCTCTGTTCGCCTTCAATTTCCAGCGTCTCTCTCCTTTCCTCAGGTCTGTCTTCGAAACCCTAAATCATTAGATTCTTACGGAACCCTAATTTGTTCTTTTGATCTGATCCCGATGAAACTCTAAATTGTTCTCTTTGTCCTTGATTGAATAATCCGTTATTTTTCTCTGTTTGCCTTCCAGTTCCATCGTCTCTGTCTTCGAAGCCCTAAATCCTCTGGTCGATCAGATCCTGCCAGAACCCTAAATTGTTCATTTGATCACATCCCTATGGAACTTTAAATCGTTCTCTTCGTTAGATCCAACTGAGTCAGACCCTCGATCACCCACGATGAGATGTCGACGTAGTGGAAGTGTTCGATCCTACCTCGACGGCATCTGACGAATGATTAAAATTTCTACCGTCGGAGACAAATTCCATCACCGCCATCCCAGGGCGCAGCCGTCATCCTCAGATCGTTCCACACAGGAGGTTTGTTTCTGTCTTTGATTTCAAGTTGAGAGGATTTAGATTATTGTTTGATTTTAGGGTTGCATGTCCATGGCGATGTCTTTTCTATTTATTATTATTATTATTTAGGTTGGTAGATTCAGAGAGAGGACCCATAATCGAATCCAGTTAAGAAAGACCGAAGATTGTGGATTTGTCAATCGGTATGTTGCTCCACTTAGATTATTCTTTTATTTTCTTTGAGGCAACCGCATTATGATTATTGTTGGGTTGCACAGATGGGTTTTGTGAGTGGACATTGGATCGAAGCCACACGAAATAGTTTTTTCGTGTTATGGTTGTGGACAGTTACCTTCCTGCCTCGGGATCTCGGAAAATATGCTTCGGACTTGCTGCTGCTGTGCTGGTTTGTTTTCAATTTCAGCTTCCTTTTTGTTCTGTTTTAATTATTTTTGTTTTTCTTGTTTTCCCCAACTTTTCGGGATCAGTAATCTTGAATCCAAGTTAACTCTACTAATTGCATTGAAATATAGTTAGAAGTTAGACAAATAAAATCCTGTTTTCTCAACATACTATAGAAATCATTTTCGGATTCACGAAAATAGAAGGTATTTCATTGGTTAACCTGTTTTCTTTGTTGCATTTATGGGTTTAAAGACCGTGGGTTATTGTTTTCAATTCCTTATGAAGTTCATGTCATTGGGTTGGACGTAGTTTTGCCATCGGTTTATGATTTATTGCCTAATCTTCAGGGGTTTGTCATCTAAATGAGTGAACTTTCTAGAGTTTGAAGGTTAGCGGGAGATAATTAATTCAATTCTCTTTATGGAATCCATAATTTTTGGAGAGAGTCAAATTTTCCGTGTCTTAAAGATTTCTAATGTAACCTGTAGGTTGATCTCATATTGAATGGATTTTTTGTAGGGTATGAAGATTAGCGGAAGATGATCTTCAATTCATAGAAAAAATCCAGCCAACTTGAGATTCACCTTTAGGTTACACTAGGAATCTTCAACCCATGAAAAATTTGTCTTAAACCAAATAGTATGAATTTCCTAGAGAGCGGTATTTTATGGGGTTTAAAGATCAGTGGGTTATAGTCTTCAATTCCTTATGAAGTTCGTGTCATTGGGTTGGACGTAGTTTTGCCATCGGATTATGATTTATTGCCTAATCTTCATGGGTTATTAAAGATTTATAATGTAACCCCTAGGTTGCTCTCATATTGAATGGATTTTTTGTAGGGTATGAAGATTAGCGGAAGATGATCTTCAATTCATAGAAAAAATCCAGCCAATTTGAGATCCACCTCTAGGTTACAGTAGGAATCTTCAACCCATGAATAATTTGTCTTAAACCAAATAGTATGAATTTCCTAGAGAGCGGATATTTTATGGGGTTTAAAGATCCGTGGGTTATAGTCTTCAATTCCTTATGAAGTTTGTGTCATTGGATTGGACATAGTTTTGCCATCGGTTTAGGATTTATTGCCTAATCTTTAGGGGTTTGTCATATAAATGAGTGAACTTTCTAGAGTTTGAAGGTTAGTGAGAGATAATCTTCAATTCTCTTTATGGAATCCATACTTTTTGGAGAGAGTCAAATTTTCCGTGTCTTAAAGATTTCTAACGTAACCCCTAGGTTGATCTCATATTGAATGGATTTTTTGTAGGGTATGAAGATTAGCGGAAGATGATCTTCAATTCATAGAAAAAATCCATCCAATTTGAGATTCACCTTTAGGTTACATTAGGAATCTTTAACCCGTGGAAAATTTGTCTTTAATCGAATAGTATGAATTTTCTTGAGAGTGGATCTTTTATAAGGTTTAAAGATTTGTTGGTTATAGTCTTCAATTCATTATGAAGTCTTCAATTCATTATGAAGTCTTCAATTCATTATGAAGTTCATGTCATTGGGTTGGACACGGTTTTGCCATCAGTTTAAGATTTATTGCCTAATCTTCTTCGGGAGTTTGTCATCTAATTGAGTGAACTTTTTAGAATTTGAAGGTTAATGGGAGATAATATTCCATTCTCTTCATGGAATCCATTTTTTTCTTGGAGAGTTAAACTTTCCATGTGTTAAAGATTTCTAATGTAACCCCTAGGATGATCTCATATTGAATAGATTTTTTGTAGAGTATGAAGATTAGCGGAAGATGATCTTCAATTCATATAAAAAATCCACCCAATTTGAGATCCACCAATAGGTTACATTAGGAATCTTTAACCCATGAAATTTGCCTTTAACCAAATAGTATGAATTTCCTAGAGGGTGGTTTGTTCACCTGTTTCTTAGTTATAAAATTCCTCATCATTTTGTTGACCTGTTGAGTTACTTCAACCAGGGCTTTCATTAGGGAGAAAAAATAGATGGGAAATACTATTAAGAATCGCTTGCACGAGGGTTAACCTTCCTCCTTTGGGAAGGAGGCCTAAATTTTTTATTACCACCAAGGCGAAATCCCAAGTAGCTAAAAGGGAAGGATTCCACTTTACACCCGATCCTGTTAAGACCAAGAAGACTCCTCTATAAGAGATGTTTAGGAAACATTCAAAAATAGACCAGAACCTATGCAAAAACCTACTTACATTGTCATGTCAACAAGTATACTTTCCTTTAGTATGTTTCATTTTCCATGTTCGTCATCTCCCTTGTATTTGTATGAGCAAATGTACTTTTTTCTTATCCCAAATCTCTGTTTTCTCTTATGTTTCAAATTGTGTCCATTTCAATATTCTTCAATGTCTCGAAATTCATACGAGCAGATGCACTTTTTTTCTTCCTTCCAAATTTATTTACCAATTGAAGTTTGGTTACAGTCTTATTTGTATATGATAAATATGAGGGATGTTTATATATTTATTTTCTACTTCGAAGTTACTCAGTCAAGGTAGCATGTTATTCATTTCGGTTAAATCTTTTCGTCTGTTTTGAGCTTTCTCTTTTGCACGTTGTTGGTTTTAAAGATTTCTAAGGTAGCATGTTATTCATTCCTCAAAACATTTTTTCTGCAAAATTTTTATTTCACTCTCTTAAGTTTACCATTCCAGCCTCTTTTCTCCCTTCAAAATTTTGTCCATTTCTTAAACTGTTCTCTTGAAGAATTTTTCCTCTTCCGATTTTGAAAAGTAATTTTCGAAAATGATACTTGTTTTCCAAATTTATTGTACTTTCAAGTATTTTTTATCTCTTACATTTGAAAGCGATTTTCAAAATGATTTTTGGAGTAGTAGATGTGAGGTGAGTTTAGGAAAATTAATTGACCGGAAATTTTCCTATTTCACCTTATTGCGTACATTAATTTTTTTGAAAGTTAAAATTTTCCTTTATAGGTCAATTTCCTAACATCTTTTCTTTTTAAATTCATTTCCTCAAACTTTCCAATTCCTTTTTTTTAATGAATATACTTACAATTTAATAAATATTTTAAGAATTATGATTTTTCTACAAAAATTTTGTTTTTTAATCCTCTCCATCTTTCAAACTTTTTTTTCTCTGGCTCAGCCTTTCTTCTCTCTATTAACAATTTTACCTCTCTTTCCCTAAAATATTTTTCACTCTTTTATTTTTTCCCAAAACTTGTGGGGGTTCAAAAGCCCATGGATGAACATATTTTGGAGGAAAAGATATTTTCTATTGGAGCATTATTGTTGTTGGCGATCTAGTAGAATAGGCATGGATGAGCCTAGGAATTAACTTCTCTTGTGCAGGTCTAGAAAGTTCTGTTGACATCCTACAAGTATTTCTACAATTGAAGGTTCAAAAACCCATAGACGAACATATTTAGGAAGAAGGGTATTTTCTATTATAGCATTATTGTTGGTGGCACTGGATTGTGATCTTTTTCTGTAATTAGAAGTGGTGGTTTCCAGCAGGGGAGTTTTATCTTTTTCTGCAATTAGAAGTGGTTGTTTCCAGTAGCTTTTTGTTTTATATAAGAGTGTTTGGAGATTCTTTTTTATTTTTTAATTTTTATTTTTCATGTCGACAAATGAGATTTTTACATTCTCGCAATCAGATTTACCATTTGTTTAGTTTTATATGATACGTCTTAGCTTTTAACGTTGTGTTTCAGATGGATGATGGTTGAATAAATGAACTTGCCGGTGCTTCGTGTTCGGGGAACGAAGTTATTTCTTTTCTAATTTACCATTAGTTTAGTTTTATATGATACGTCTTAACTTTTAACATTATGTTTCAGATGGATGATGGTTGAATAAACAAACCTACTGGTGCTTCATGTTCAGGGAACAAGATTATTATGTTCGAGATCTGTTGCAGTTTGAGTGCTTCTTAAAATTACAAATAATTGGGAGTCAATTAGGCAAATGGATCAGTATGCAACTCTTCCCAGTTGGCTGTATTATTTTATTGTTTTCATTGCATGCAAACTTTATTATAAGGTATCGAAGTTACTTTTTGCCCCTTCCTCCAGAGAAAAAAAGTTTTATACTCCCTGTTTTTATTGCATTTAGGTTGTTTGAACTCAGCTTGCGGGGGAATTCTGCACTGCTTTGAGAATGACAGCGAGCTAAAAAATGCTAGGAATATTGGCAGTGAGTTTAAGGGTATATCCTTGGCTTTATTTTCATCAAACATTTATTAAAGAATGTTATAAACTTAAAAGGGACATTTTAAAAAAGTTTTTGCATTTACTCTGTTCTCATCGCATCTACGTTTTCCAATCCAACTTGCTGGTGGGAGATACTAGGAGTAGGAGTATTTTTCATTTCTTTAAACATTGATTAAAGAAGGAAAATAACTTTATGAAATTAAAAGTGTCATTATACTAGTTTTCTATTTTTCTACAATAATTTCCATACAATTTCATATTACTTCTGAAGCATGGTATTTTTTTATTTTTAATTGCCTATAATGTTTGTTTATCTGATTATTTTGGCTTTGAGTATTATCTTTTTCTTTCGTATTTCAAAATATGATTTTTTTTGTTTTACTATTATACTATTTAATCAAACTCTCTTTTATAATAGTCTCATATGCATTGTTGAAAAGTATGTTTCATTTCTTTTCTAGGAGTAGTAGTATTGGCTAAGTTGAAAGTATGTTTCACTTTTTTCCATTTCTTCAAACGTCGATTGAAGAAAGAAAATAATTCTATTTTTCTACAATAATTTCCATACAATTTCATATTACTTCTGCAGCATGGTATTTTGGGATTTTTAATTCCTATAATGATGTTCATATGGTTACTTTTGCGTTGAGTGTATATTTTCTTTCCTATATCAAAACATGATTATTTTTTTGGTTCGAGCCTAATTACTATTTCACAATTTAATCAAATTCTCTTTTCTAATTGTCTCATAGGCATCGTTGAAAAGTTCTAATACTTTTTGCAGTTCAACACTATGCATCTTATGTTTCTTTCTTGGGAACTGTCGTGCGTCACCTATGCCCTAATGGTAGGTTTGATGTAGCCAAAGTTTTCATTTATCATTGCAATATAATCGAGTTTAACGAACTTACTGTGGAGGGGTTTTCTCAGTTTCTTACTAATAAAGAAACCCAAAAGCGTAGTGGCAAAAATAGATAAATGACGAAAATCCATAGCAAACTAGCCATTGTTTTTAAAGCAACACATAAAGCAAAACATACTCCTACGTGTTAATGATTGCCTTATTCTTTCAGGAATGCAACTTCTAAGGACTGTGGAAAGATTATGTTCTTATGACTGAATTTCTTGAAGTCGATTTGAAGGTGAAGTGATAATACTCTGGCACAAAGATCTATTTCCTTCAATTACTCAGATCAGTGGTTTTTCACAATTCATTGCCCAAAACTTTGTTTTGATCCCTTTGCAGACTTTGGTGAGTGCTCAAACTCCTAATTGATTTGGCAAACATGGAAATTTTACATAATTTATATATATATATATATGCATGGAATACCAGTAAGCTCCCTCATTCCTTCCCTACTCCTTTCTCTTTCTCCTCGTCCTCCCTCCCTCTCTTTTTTCCTCCCTTTTTCTCGCTCCCCTGCTCCCATCTTTATTTCCCTTTCCCTCTCCCTCTCTTTCTTCCTCTCACTCTACCTCTCCTTCTTCCTCTCTTTCTCCCTCCTCTCTCCCTCCCTCCCTCCTTCCATTCCTGTTACCCGAGTGTTAGAGTATTGTGTTTAAATGTTATTTGGTTAGGAGGATTTTTTTGGTTATAATTGTACCTTTGTTGGTTATGATTATTATTCAAGGCTTGTATATTCGGTTTTAGATGAGAATGATATGAATATTTTCTTTCCATTTATTGTTCTAATACCTATCTCCTCTCTCTGTCTCTATCTTTATTTGTGGTTGGTTTGTTTGTTGATTGCTTGTTTAGTGGCTTCTCTATGTCGAGGTGTCTTGCCAAAATCTCTTTGAATAGCAACCAAGCTATTGAATCCACTTTTCCTCCCTTTCTCTTTCTATTCCCCTCCTGCCTTCTTCCTTATCTCCTCTTTCTCTCACTCCTTTTGTCTACATGTCTGTTAAATTATTATTTTTTTGAGGGAGGAGGGGATGTGGGGAGGGTTGCAGCTTCTATTCTACAGTGTGAGTGTGAAAGTTCTTCATATAGTCCATAGCTACAATTATTGTTCTTGCTTCATTACAGACATTGACTGTTTTTGTTATTCTTCATTTGTTACGAAAGGTCTTCATCTAGTGAGTGTGAAAGGTCTTCATATAGCTACAGTCTTCTAGCTTCTTGTTCCTGCTTCTTCTTTATAGTTGAGTGTTTTTGTTATATGTCTTTTGTCCCTCCCTCTTCCCTATCTCGTCTCTCTCTTTCTCGTCCCCCTCCATCTGTCTCTTTCTGCCTCTCTCACACTCTCCCTCTCTCCCCCCCTCCTTCCACTCCTATTTGTGTATTATTTGAGGATTTGTGTTTCAATGTGTTTCTTATTTGGTATGATTATTATTCAAGGCTTGTATTTGTATTTTTTTAGACGAGAATTATATGAATATTTTTCTATCCATTTATTGTTCTAATACCTATCTCCTCTCTGTTTCTTCACTTGTGGTTGGTTTGTTGATTGCTTGGATTTAATACTTATAGTCATGAGATTTTTATCGTGTCTCTCTCTCTGTTTCTTCATTTTTCTCTCTTCCTTCCCCTCTCCTCTCCTATCCCTTTTCCTTCTTCCCTCTCTCCCAATCCATCTTCCTTCTTCCCTCTCTCCCTATCCATCTCTTCCTCCTTTCCTCTCTCCCCCTCCCTCTTTTTCCCTCATTCCTATTATTTGAGTATCGTGTTTCAATGTTTGTATTTATTGAATTAAGTAAATTTAGTAGTAGTTAGCTGTTTTAGTTAGGATTATTATTTATAGAGTAGTTGGCTTCATATGGTCTATATATAAGGTCTTAATTTTTTGTTTTGAATTAGAAATAGGTAAACAGTTTTCTCCATTTATCGTTCTAGTACATGTTACTATTATTATTTATACAGCAGTTGGTTTTCATATGGTCTATATGATCTGAATTTTTTGTTTTGGGTTATAAATACGTAATATTTTTCTCCATTTATTTTTCTCCAGTTGGTTTTTGTTATGTCTTTTGTCCCTCCCTCTTCCCTATCTTCATCCCTTTCTTTTTTCCTCACTTTCTCTCCCCAGCATCGTCCCTTTCTGCCTCTCTCTCACTCTCCCTCTCTCCCTCCCTCCTTCCACTCCTATTTGTGTATTATCTAAGGATTTGTGTTTCAATGTTATTTGGTTAGGAGGATTTGTTTTTGTTAGAATGATTTCTTATTTGGTTACGATTATTATTCAAGGCTTGTATTTGTATTTTTTGTTTTAGATGAGAATTATATGAATATTTTTTCTCCATTTATTGTTCTAATACCTATCTCCTCTCTGTTTTTACATTTGTGGTTGGTTTGTTGATTGCTCTGGTTTACTGGGTTCTCTTAAACTAATTTGTGGTTGGTTCTCTTTCTCCATCCCTTTTTCTCCTCTCTGTCTTTCCTCTCTCTCCCTTCTACCTGTCTCCTCCTCCTCTCTCTTTCCTTTTTCTCTCTTCCCCGTTTCCTTTCCGCTCCTCTCCTCCTTTTTCCCTCCCTTCCTATTATTTGAGTATCATGTTTCAATGTTTGTATTTATTGAATTAAGTAGATTTAGTAGTGGTTAGCTGTTTTGGTTAGGATTACTATTTGTGGAGTAGTTGGCTTTCATAGTCTTTATATAAGGTCTAAATCTTTTGTTTTCGATTAGAAATACGTAAACATTTTTCTCTATTTATCGTTCTAGTACATGTTACTATTATTATTTATACAGCAGTTGGTTTTCATAGAGTCTATATGAGGTCTGAATTTTTTGTTTTGGGGGTAGAAATACGTAATATCTTTCTCCATTTATTGTTATCGTACATATTACTATTATTATTCTTCATAAATTACAATGGTGAGTTTCAAAATAACATAGGTAACCTGATTGGTGCAAGGAGATCCCGACATTTTTAAACTTTTAAACTTTTTGATCTTTTGATATTCTTGCATTTTTTGTCGCGAGAAATTAGTTACATAATGTTTGTGTCCGTGTTTATGGTTGTGGTGTTTTTTAAACATCTGTTTATGTCTATGTCTTTATGTTGTTTGTTTTTCGGTTTTGGTGGTCGTCTTTATCTTGCTCTTTTCCTTTCCATATGATAGATGTTTAAACTTTGAAACTTTTTGGTCTTTGATATTCTTGCATTTCTTGTTGCGAGAAATTAGTTACATAATGTTTGTGTCCGTGTTTGTTAAACATCTATTTATGTTTGTGTCTTTATGTTGTTTGTTTTTCGGTTTTGGTGGTCATCTTTATCTTGCTCTTTTCCWTTCCATATGATAGATGTTTAAACTTTKAAACTTTTTGGTCTTTGATATTCTTGCATTTCTTGTCGCGATAAATTAGTTACATAATATTTGTGTCCGTGTTTATGGTTGTGTTTGTTAAACATTTATTTATGTTTGTGACTTTATGTTTGTTTATCGGTTTTCTCTTGCTCTTTTCCTTTCCATATGATAGATGTTTAAACTTTTAAACTTTTTTATCTTTGGTATTCTTGCATTTCTTATCGCGAGAAATTAGTTACATAATGTTTGTGTCCGTGTTTGTTAAACATCTATTTATGTTTGTGTCTTTATGTTGTTTGTTTTTCGGTTTTGGTGGTCATCTTTATCTTGCTCTTTTCCATTCCATATGATAGATGTTTAAACTTTTAAATTTTTTGGTCTTTGATATTCTTGCATTTCTTGTTGCGAGAAATTAGTTACATAATGTTTGTGTCCGTGTTTGTAGTTGTTCGTTGGTGGTTGTCTTTATCTTGCTCTTTTTCTTTCCATAAGATAGATGTAGTCGTGTACCCCGCCTTCCCTCTCATTATTCTCTCTTTCGTGTTTGAAAGCTATAATAAATATTTTAGAAATTAGTTTTGAAAATAGTATTATTAAAAAAAAAAACTAGTAAATATGCGGTTAAATCTCCAAAATTTGTCTATAATTCTCTAGTTTTTTTTTTTAATCTCTAAAAATTTCTACCTGTCTAAAACCATTCTTCCCCGAAAGAAATCTCTTTTTAAAATCTGCCCCTCCTTTTTATAAGTTTTTTTTCTCTCTTTAAACTTGTGTTCTCCAAAATTGTTCACTCCAGCTCTGTCAAATATTTTTTTTTAATTTACTTGCAACTTTCAAAATATTTTATAAGATGAATAAAAAGGTAGACATAAATTTATTCTCAAATTTTGTCCCATTTTATAAATTTTCTGAATTAAAATATTTTGTCCTCTCTAACTTTTTACTCTGATCATGCTTAGAATTTAATATATAATTTTAAAGTGGTCCCCTATAAATTTGTTCTCTTTTTCAAATAAATTTATATCTCTACCTATTTTTTTAACAGTTTTTGTAATTTCAAACATACTCGTTATATATAGGATTTAGAAGTAGCAAGTATGTTTGAGATTACATATAAACCTAATGAAAAAAATATAAATTTTAAATTTGTTGCAATTTTCACTTGAAAATTTGTTGAAAAATATTCTCATGTGTCAAATAAAAAAGAAAGTTTTTGGTATTAAATAATTGATAGAATTTTTAAAAAAATTGACATTATAGTTGATTTTTTTAGCTTAAATTTGTAAGTTTTGGCAAAGTTATTTAATACTAGATTTTGTATACTAATCAATTTACTTGGTTCTTATTAAATTAGTGAGCTTTTGTAGATTTTTTTATTGAATATTTAGGGATAAAATTATGAAATTTATACAAAATTATGATTATGCATTTACATTTATTAAAAAAATTAATTAGACATAAGTTAAAATTATTTATTTTAAATGATAAATACATTTGGCTAAAAAACAATATTTCAAAATCAAGATAGGTTTGCATTCAGTCACATCACGATAAAAATATATTTAAAAAAGAAAATTTAAGATAAAGTAAATTCGTTAAATAAAAGGAGAGAAAAATGCCCTTGAAAAGATTGCGCTAGCCATGAATCAAACCTAGGTCGGAAAAGTCCGGAGGAAGGGAGAATACCCGGCCAAATAATATATTTAGAAAAGAAAAATAAAATTAAATACAGAGTAAATCGCTAAAGAAGAAAAACAAAAGTTGCAAAGAGTTGAGATTTGAACTTTGGAAGGGAAAACACCCGGCCAAATGGCTTTTTTTTTCAGGGACTGCCAAATGGAATTTTGTTTATAGTGAAATAATCTACATTATATTTAACTAAAATCCAGAGGCACGTGGATCTTCCCCTGTCCACTCCTACCTATTATTGAATTAAAATAGGCATTGTACCAAAAATTCAATTCAATTCAATTAAAATAAAAGGAAACGTGGGACTCAATTTTAGTTGAAAACTGACACTTGTAGATACGTATGATATATGATGCAGAAATATTATAGAGATATTTGATGCAAACTAGTAAAATAATTTAATTTTTATTAAGCTAAATTTTATACAAAACATTTATTTAGAAGAAGCCATTATATGTTGTTAAAATAGAAATTGATTTTAATTATACAACAACGCTAAGAGGAACTTTTAAGATATTTTTAATAAACTAATTGTAAAAAAATAAATTGATAAAATGTATTAAGTTGCATTAGATTTTAATGTCTACCTTCTTGGTTAATCTTTGGTATATACATCTATATGCAATTATTTACGTAAATGGATGATTCATCTTTTAAATGTTGATAAATTCCAACTTGCTCAAATAGATTAGGTAACTGTAACTTAATATATCATAAAAATATCTACTTCGTAGTTGTTGTACTACTAGTACTAATATTAATAATGGTTGATGTTTGAAATCTAGTTGTGCTAACGTGGCAGACTCTTTACGTGCAAGATATTTCCAAAATTGAACTCTGCACTAAGTGCTCTGCTTAGTGTATTATGAAACTTAAGTCATTACTAGGGGTGTTCAAATAATCCGGTAACCCGAAGAACCCAACCCAAACCGTGAGGGTTGGGTTGGGTTAAGTAAATGTCTGGTTCGGGTTGGGTTTAAGATTTTAAGAACCAATCAGTTTGGTTCGGTTCTTGGGTTAGGAGAAAAAAAAATTAGTTTAACCCGAACCGAATCGGATTTAATCGTATATATGCATGTATTAAGTTTTCTAGGGTTTTGCTAGCCACCTCTTTGCCTCTCATCTCTCAATCTCCCTCTCAAGTCGCCTCTTCACCTCCATCTCTCATCTCTTTCTTAATCTCATCCCATTTCTCTCAATCTTCCTTTCAATCTCATCCCATATCTCACAATATCATCCCACCTCTCTCAATCTCACCATCTCAAGTCTCGTTTCTTGCCGTTCATGGTTATTGTTCGCATCTGTTGACAGTCGTTTGCATATGTTTGCTCTGTTCACTGTTGGCATATTTTTCAGCCATTTGCCTCTGTTCGCAGCCCTTCACCTCTGTTTGTGACCCTTTGCATCTGTTTGCCTCTATTTGTCGTCGTTTGCATCCTTCAGTCTGCTACTGTTTATTGTTGTTAGTCGTTCCTTCTCGTCTGCTACCCGTTCCATCGTCCAAACCCTCATTTGAAAAGAAAGAACAAAATGTAGAGCAATCCGATGATCTGAACCGACCCAACCTGAAAAATATAGGGTTGGGTTGGGTTGGCTAGTATAGTCGATTCCATCGGGTGGGGAAACAGTCCAACTCGAAATTTCGAGTTGGTCCAAAAAATGTCCTGAACTTGACCATACCCAACCCGTGAACACCCCTAGTCATTACTCAGTTTGGAAGAGCGAAGGAGATAGTAAAAAGTTAGATGCAAGATATTACCTATGTTTGAAAAGGGTTTGACTCATATTTCAATAAATGATAAGATGGGAAAATGTGCTCCAAACAATCTAGGTCGTAGTGATAGAAGATTCTTCACTGACTTTGACAGTAGACCTGTGAGATCGTATTCATACTTGAGAAAAGTGAATGGATATCTCGTTAGAAGAACTTTGCTCAAGAAAAGTAGAGCGTTTGAACGCATGGGCTCACCCTCCTTGGCCCATTTAGTAATATTGGGCCTTGAACCCTCTGACACCTGTGGATTCATCCACGTGTATTGTCAAAGTTCTTACAAAACAATAATTATAAGACGACGACAAAGCTGTGTCTAAAGTAATTACACAATTTACGGTTTGGTAATTCTAAATTATAGCAGCTAATATTTCTGACCATAAATGTCTTTTTCTGGATGCACTAAATATGGTAAGCGCGTGGATATATTTGCTAAGTGATAAGGTAAGTGGGATTCCTATTTCCCATTCTGCAGCCAATTTTTTCGTATTCTATATAGACTTGTATTTTTATCTATTTTTAAAACTAAAAATTAATTCAATAGACCAATCGATCATTTTTTTGGCATACTAATAATTTCCTAATCACTCCCTATTCTAAAATCTACCAACTAAAATTTATCAGTTATAGTTTTTATTTTGCCAATTTTTTAATACCACAGTGCAGACAGATGATGTGAATTAAGCCTACAACACTTGTAAGGTGAAGGAGATTGAAGGTACACCTTTAAAATAATAATCACCTGTCTTATCTACCACGATATGCTTTCATTTTGTTACCAAGAGGGACTAAATTTTATTATAATATTTGCAATTTTGTATTGATTGGGTAGGAAATTACTGTTGAACCGCTTTGACTGTAACAAACATTTGAAAATAATACAAATATTTCACTAGTTTCAAATAAATTAAAAGTTATTAGTATTGATATTAGGTCGATATTAATAATAATAAGGAAGTATCACGAAAATATCTTCCAAAATTTAATTTAGTCGATTATAAAATGGTAATAAAATTTGAGGGGCAGCAAAAGTGAAAGCCCACTAATAGAACACTCCACTCCACCAGAGATATATTTGATTAGCAATTTCTTTCTTGCTTCTCACTCCTCCTCCACTCTGAAAAATCATCTCACTCATCTTTTCTCCCTCACTTTCCATCATTTCCCCACCATCCAAACACCAATTTCGTCCATTTTCCCACTTCCCAAACATACCCATCTCAGAAAAATCTCATTATCCAGTTTCAGCCCTGAAGAACACAAAAAAGAATAAACCCCAAAATCTGTCTCTGTTTCAATCTCTGTTCGTTGGCGTTGTTGGGTTTGTTTCTGGCCATGGTTTCGTTCCCATTTGTTCTTCCATTTGCAATTTTTCTTTCCTTTGGCCTTCTCTTCGTCTTCCCTCTCAAGCAATCCCAATTCTCCTTCTTCGGCGATCTCCAGGACATCGCTCTCTTCCACAGAGCCACTCTACAGTCATCCCATGCCGGCGGTGGTGGCGGTGCCGGTGGCGGCGGCGGCGGCATTTCTTCCGTTTCGCGATTAGGTACTATTCGAAACCCTAAGCCCAAGATTGCGTTTCTCTTCCTCACTAACTCCGATCTATTCTTCGCCCCGTTGTGGGAACGGTTCTTCCGCGGCCATGGATTGCTCTTCAACATCTACATCCACGCCGATCCCTCCGTCGAAATCAACCCTCCCGGCGGTGTCTTCGAAGGCCGATTCATTCGGGCCGGGAAGACTGCGCGTGCGTCGCCGACACTCATCTCCGCCGCGCGTAGGCTTCTCGCTCGTGCGGTCATCGACGATCCTCTGAACCTCTACTTTGCCCTCGTCTCTCAACGCTGTATACCTATCCAATCCTTCGATTTCATCTTCAATTACTTCGCTCCGATATGCTTTCTCTATTCCTCCATTCTCATTTTTTAAGGAACACGAAAGAATCCAGATTGTCCCTCTCCTCTCCCTCCTCTCTACTATCCTCTAATTTCAATCGCCAAACCCTGGAGTTAGGGTTTACGGCAAGTTGTTTTTATTTCTAACTTRTTGTTTCTGGTATTGCAGTAGATGGCAATGGTCCAGTGCTTACGAGGAACCACGGCAAAGAAGAGGGTTAGGTATTCCTTTGTGGGCAAGTTGTTACGGCAAGTGGGATAATTTACATTTCCTTTGTGGGCCGTATCCTGAGGCGTTAGGTATTCATTCCATCTCCATGAGATCAAAAGCCGAATCCTYATGGTTCCTCATTGTTCCATCGGTAGTAAATTGGTTGGTATGTTTAATCTGTAGTTAAAGTTGATTTTTCTTAAACAAGTTTTTCGAGAAATGAATTTGAGATTCTATTTGAAACAGAATTTGAGTGAGGAACTTAGAGAAGCAAGAAGGGATTCTTCTACCGGTCCCGCGGGTAAAAACGATACAGAATAACGGTGAACACTTTCACGTTGCAGCATGTAAGTTCTGTTCTTCATATAAATTTGATTGTGTGTATTGCTTTTAAAGCATATAAAWGTTTATTTATATAATAATTTCTATATTGAAACCTTTGATCTTTTAGACATGGGAATTTGTTTCGAGACATTGTTTGTTGCCTTTTAATTGCTTATAATATAAGGGTTATTTTTAGAAATTTCAAATATAACCACGACACAGATCAACAACTACAAACTCAGTTAGGATAATTTTGTCGCTAATTTCATATTGACTTTTTCCATGTTTACTTCTCTCTAGTTTGCTTGTGAGGAGGTGGTAGAAATTTTTTAATTTTCATGCTCATTACTGTCATCCATGCTTTCTTATTTATTATGCATTAATCATGGGATTATCATAAAAATTGAAACGAAACGATTTCATTGATATCATGATAAAAGGAGGGAAAGATGATTACAAAAAAGACAGAGTGCCCACAGGCGGGTTACAAAATTAAAATTGAGATTATCTTAGAGCTGTTTTAGAAAACTTCCTTATGTAACTATTTCTTTTAGAAAGAGCTCTTAGCTATTTGTATTTTATGAACAAATTACACTTTAAATATTAAACTTGAGACTGCATCATTGATAGCTTCATAACGACTTCTTTACTTTCTCGGTTTCTTTGTTTTCTTCTATTCCCCTTCTTTCCTCTAGAACTTAAATTAAAGATCCTTGTGTTTCTTTTTATTGGAACATCTAAAAAGTTATTACTGGTTGTATAAGATTTTTCCAACCATGGTTGTTTAGATTTTGGTTTGTTTCAAAGAGAATTAAAAATCGAGTGGGGTTGCTTTATGGATTTGCCTAAAATAAATTCAGGTTGAACTGAACTTGACTCGCATATTTTAGTCGCCTCAATATAGTAATATTATCCAAACATAATTCTTGTTCAGTATAAGACTTTCAGACATAGTTTGTCATCTAACTGAGTGAACTTTCTACATTTTGAAGATTAGTGGGAGATAGTCTTCAATTTTCTTTATGGAATTCATATTTCTTGGAGAGAGTCAAACTTTCGATGNCCGAAGTGCCGTTCGAGCGATTCAGAGTGGGATCGCAGTTCTTCATTTTGACTCGGAAGCACGCGGTGCTGGTGGTGAAGGAAAGGAAACTATGGAGGAAGTTCAAGCTGCCGTGCTTGGACGAGGAACCGTGTTACCCCGAGGAGCATTACTTCCCGACTTTGCTGTCCATGGCGGATCCGGAAGGTTGCAGCCATTACACCCTGACTAGGGTTAATTGGACGGGTTGTTGGGACGGGCATCCACACTTGTACACGCCGGAGGAGGTCTCGCCGGCGCTCATACACACGTTGAGGCAATCGAATTCCAGCTACTCTTACTTATTTGCCAGGAAGTTCTCGCCGGAATCCTTGACGCCGTTGATGCAAATCGCCGATGACGTCATTTTCCGGGACTGAAGCGTCTGCCTGTTGTTTTCTCCAACGGGTAAGCATTATTCATCCTTCCTTATAATTTCGTTATTACTTTTTTATTAAGCTCAAATTTTGTTTTAGGTTCATATACTATGTCTGATCTTTAGGTTGGGTAAAAATTAGGGTAGAAATCAAAGCTGGAAAAATCGTCGATCTGGATTCACAAAATATAAAATTGAAATTTTTTCGTGGGATTTCATTTTTCTTAAATTTGTCAAAATGGAGGATGAATTGAACTACTAACCTTTTAGTAAACCCTAAAATACAATTAGCTAATTAAATCTATTGAATGAAGTAGGTTGGGTAAAAGATGTTGATTGGTTTGCTTTCATAGAAATTGTTGATTGTGGGTACTCTCCTGCGTGCTTTAGCTTTAATTAGATTCCTTCGATTTTATATAAAATTTGAAAACTAATTAAAGATATTCGAGCATTAGGAAGTATAAATGTCGCATTAGAATAGATATAAAAGTGGAAGGATGAAAATGCAATTATAATCTTTATTTAATATTGATTAAGAAAAGGAAAGGTGTGAATGAAATTGATTGTCCTCAATCCACAAATGGGACAGAAAAGGACAAAGTTTGACTAAACTGACAAGAAACGGGAAATTGATCTAAATTCTCGAAAAATCAAAGCCACGTATTTGGTTTAAAAATGTTAATTGCATCCTCAGACTAGTTCTTAGATTTTTATTGAGTGAATGGGTACTGGACTGGTTAAGTGCTTAACTCACATAAGGAATTTTCCTTCAGACATTATTTTTTAATTTTGTTAGATTCTATCTCATTCTTAAATAGTGCTACTGGGCCATTTTATTTTAAAATAATGTCACATGATTGACAATAAATAGAAGTATTACAGAAATTTTCTGCTAAATGGATGTGAGTACCCTATAAAATTTTAGTACCACGTGAATGCTTGCTTACTCCCTGTGTTTATTCCATAAATTTTCTTTTAGTGTTTTTTTTTATAACTAGCCGTCGGAGCTTTTCTGGTACCCGCGCCTTTCCGATAGTCCGGACGCGGGAGACATTAAATATTTTTTATATTAAGCTTACAAAAAGGTTTGAACTTGACATATCTAAAAATCCATCTGGATGGCTGTTGGGCTATAATTTTTCTTTTAATGTTAGTCCGACTAATTTTTCTTTTAATGTTAGTGGACTTTCTTTTACAAATAATAAATGAAGATAGCATCTATACTTCTTGAGCGGTGAAAGTTTTCCTATCCTGGGGTTGAGTGGAGTGGGTTAGGTGAGAGGAGTGGGATATAAGAACCGTTTTGTCGTTTTCTTATAAACAAACCAAAACAGCCTCACGAAACCCAACAAACCGCGTCTGCAGGATTGCACTTCAGGGCAGGGCAGGCGCATGTTATGTTATATTATTAATGGTAGGCCCCGACCCCCTTAGCCTCAAGTGGACTCTTTTTGAATAGCTTCAAGGAATATTAATATTTAAACATTCTACCTGCTGCTGTTTATGCTTAATGCTGGGTTTTTTTACGGGAGCTGCCCCTGCTTAATGTTTTCTTGGTTTTCCCCATATCTCATGTGACCCCATTGCTGCCTTTTCTTTTCATTCCCATGTGACCCTACTCTTCTGGTCCTCTACTTCTTTGATTCCGTATTCTTAAAGCATATATTTATCCTCTTTTCCTCCTTTTTTCTTCTTTAAATCCTTGACCTTGATGCTACATAGTGAAAGGCTAAGCTAATTGCTCAACTGAAATTAAGATGAATTATTTATTTAAAAAAACATGGCTTTTTGAGTGAGTCTATAGAACTGTTTTTTAAAATTAACTAATATTTTAAAACTATTTCTCTTTGTTTTTAGATTGAAAAAGCTTTTTGAGTTTTATTTGGTTCATGTAAAGGAAATAGAAAAAACGGATTCTGATTATTGAGGATAAGAGACAAAAGATAGTTGCAGAACTCTTAGGTCACAAGCACCCATAGGGAAGTGTTGAACCTTGTCGCAGTCCACACCTCTCAAAAGATTCTCCACCCTTCTAACAATTATCATATTTCCCTCAAGCCAAATGTTCCACAAGATAGCAAGAAAAGCTACCATCCAGAAGGCAACCCTTGTCCCTAAATGGCGGATGGAACAACACCTCCTCTAACTTTGAGCGACACAATCCGTTATGTGCCAAAAGCACACCAAAGGTTTCCAAAAAAGTATCCCAATAGTCAGGTTATTGCCGATAGTTACATATTCGAGGCACAAAGTCCCAACTCTTTGAAGTGTTTTTGGACGAAATACACCTCTGAGGCAACATGGAAGAATCCATTTTAAGTATAACTAATAGTATTAATCCTTCATGGTAAGAGTTTTCAAACAGTGAATCTTGCCTTCTTCAGGGAAACAGAGAGAGTTTCTGATTAAGAGAACCACAGAAGATAGAGTAACAGGAGCAAAAGAAAACCCACTCAAAGGATTGTGACTACGTAAACAAATATCATAGACCTAGATGAAAACACGAGTAGGGTGATCAAAGAAGAGACGTGTGAAATTTCTTTATTTGAAAGCAGGTGGCCGAAATTAAATTTGTACAAATACAATATCTAAACCTTTTTTCCCTAGGGGTGGGAGATTAAAATTAATTCAGTTGGTCCCTAATGGGATCCCTATCTATTTCCTTTCGTTGTTCAGGAATCGCTCATCCAGTAGTCCTGAATTGGGAAAGATTATGAAGATTTGTTTGTGGGAAGGACTTGAGTATGGAAGGTCTTAGCTTGTTAGGTGGCGAGCAAGAACTTTCCCCTCCTGACTAATGGCTGTGGTGCTTTTCTCTAGCTTGATACTTGTTATGATCAAGTGTGTGGTTGCCACTTGCCAGTTTGTTGGGCGCATTACCTTTGTTGTGATTAAAGCCACATTCAGAGCCCTTGGAAAACATCTCCCATTTTATCCTGTGTTGCAATAACTCATTAAAATTTTCTATTAGATATTGCTTTTTATTCTGGTAAGATCACTGGATTTGCACTGATTCCCTCCATAATTTGTCTTTTGGCTTCTAGAACCATTTTTTTTTCTTTTATATATACATATATATGTGTATATATACGACGATGATGATGATGATTCTCCTTTTCCTGCAATTTTCATTTGGAAAGAGACCCATTTTCTTTGTCGAATACTTTTGCATTTACTCGTCTTGTTCTCCTTCTTACATAGAGTTCCTCTTTAACCAAAGCCCAGTGACTAGCATGTGGATAGTGGACTCTTGAGCCTTTGGACATCTGTTGGTAGTCCTCTCTTTCATACTTCCATTTATGTTAAAAACGGTTAGTTTTATCCTCCATGAAGTACTCAAGTACAGTCTTTAGGTGGTTGGGAAATGAGCTAGTCTATTGTCAAGCTGTATGTTATACATTGTTAGCTGATCTTACAGACTATTTGATGTTTTAAATCATTGTATAAATGAAGGACGATCATATGTTAGTCTTTAAATTTTATTGACAAAACATGAAAGCATTGGGTGATGGTGTTTGATTGCTAAACAACATCCATTGATTCAAGTGGAATTTATTGCTGTGAATTGGAATGTTGAACAACCTGTTCTGTAACTTTACTTGGTTAGGTAAGTTTACATCAACATAGTTTATGGAACTACCATGTGAAACGATTAACTGAGACAGAGACTACTAAAGTTGGCAAATTTTTCTTCTCTTGATGCTGACCGGTGGTGTCTGGTGGCAGGGACTGAAGGCTGTCCTCTGATTCTGGGGAGATTTTTTTTCTTTGGGGAAACCCTTAAATGGTTGAAGCGTGGAAAGAAGGCCACAACCCAACCCGAAAGTGAGCTTCTTATAACTCTATAGTTTGTACCGTGTTTTCTGTATAGT